CAATAAAAAACATTTGATCAGTTTTCTTTTTTTTTTTTTTTTTTTTTTTTCCTTTGTCCTTGTTAAGGCCAGTTCCAAGTGGGGGCAGAGTTCCCTAAGACGTCTGACTGTGCCCAGCCAGCCTCCTGCTTCACCTCTCTTGCTTAAATCCCTGTGATCAAAAATACAGGTCCTTGTTTTCAGATTGGCCCCAGTGTGTTCCTTGTCAGTTTCCTGGTGTAATAGCAAACACGTCTTCATACTAGAAAGTGTGAGGAAGCACGCTCTCCAGAGCCAGCGGTTTGGAGAAGACTGGCTATTTTTAAAGCATCCTAGTTTGCTTTTAGCGTTAAATGGCTATTAACATGTTTGCCAGAAGCAGCATTGATTTTTCTCTCACTTTCTGTTTTTCAGGCCCTGCTTTCTTCCCCGGGCGCTGTGCTGAGATCTTTGCCAGGGGTCAGAGCGTTGGGAAGCTCGGAGTCCTTCATCCTGACGTCATCACCAAATTTGAGCTGACCATGCCTTGTTCCTCTCTGGAAATCAATATCGAGCCCTTTCTGTGAAGATGATCTTCTGTCTGCCATCCCTTCCCGAGTGCCCCTCTCTCCTCCCCTGGTAGCCTTTAGTCACTCCTCCACCGGGAGCAGCCATTTGTGCTTTAATGTTTAATAAAGTAAAAAGCACTGACTGTCTGGCTCCGTGGGTAAATACCGCCCGCTCCATGCATCAGGCCAGCCTGTGATTATCCAAATGCAGTGTTTGTGTGGAGCCGTGCTGCTGGGGAAAGGCCCAGCGGAGAACTCGAGAAACGCTCCCGCCTGCTGCAGGGCACGTCACACTGCAGCTGACTACTCCTGCCTAATGGGACCCCGCTCTTTTCCTTACTGATGAAACAGGTAATCAACTAGCATGCATGCTGCGTGTGAAATAACTTAGGGTTTTAGCTTTTACTTTCTACATCGGACATGTCTTCATCATTGGGAAGCAATAAAATAAAACTACTTTTAGAAAACATCTGAGTCAATTATGTTCCAGCAGTTAGAACTTTTGAAATCATTTTAAATCAAAAGAAAAACCTGTAACACAAATATTTAAAATATTGAAGGTATATAGATATTATTCTGTTTATTCTGAGATTGAGTACATGCAGCATAAATTCATTCTCCTAAAGAGTTAAAATGGATAAGTGTGTTTTTTTTGTTTTTTGTTTTGGAGAGTTGTTTTGTTTTGTTTTGTTTTTGCTGTACGGTACATGCACTCACCAGAAAGACAGAGAGAGACAGAGAGACAGAAAGCAAGAAATCACCCTCCCAGGGGATGGCCACGCCGCCGGCCCTTCTTCTCCATTCTCCCCTCCGGATCTTGGGCACACACACACACACACACACACACACACACACGAGCCCGGTGTGAGTTTAAGCCACCGGGTTTGGGACTAGAACCGTGGTCTACTACATGGGAGTCCAGTGACATAGCCATTACACCAGAATGCTGGCCCCAGAATGAACAAGTATTAATATCAGTGCAATATGAACATTAGGAAATAAGGAAGCACTTATTTATCCCTAAGGCATACATGTTGCTATAATTGGCCGGTCATAAAACCACGGTTTTAAGTACTAACTGAGCTGTAGTTTTTGACTTATGCTCTGGAGTGGTATTAGATCTCTCCTCTGCAGTTCAGCTTTTGCCAGTCCTCCTTGTCTTACTTCAGTGGTTCATTACATAATATCCTGTCATACTTTGATTTAGCATCATCTGATTGGTACCATGCCTTCAAAAAAGAAGCCAAGTCTGCTGTTTTGAGAGCAGTTCCCAGTTACTGTTCGATAAGAAACATGATAAAATGTAAAACTTTTAAGTAAGTCCCAGAGGAATTAGCTGACAGATAGTGAGATAGAATTATGTTTATGCGAGGCCAGCAGGTGGCATAGTGGTAAAGGTGCTGGACTCCCACATGGCCTACTGGTTCAAGTACCCAACCTGGTGGCTTGCTTTCTCAGTTTCCCTCTCTCTCTCTCTATCTGTGTCTGTCTCTGATCAAATAAAAAGTAAAATAATAAAATTAAATAAATCTTTAAAAAATAAAAATTATGTTTATGGATGTTTTGCTATGGCTGCTACCAAGAAAAAACCCAGCCATATTAAGCTGTGAATCAGGGAAGCAGCATCTAACTTAGGAAGATATGTGAATAGGCAGGCCGTCATCTTATCCTTTCCAGCTCTGCTGTGAGCAGACCTTTACATTCTTAAAAGGAAGTGAGGGCCAGCTGGTGGCATGGTGGTTAAGGTACTGGATCCCACATGGCTGACTTCATGGTTCATATCCCAGGTGCAGCAGCATAAAAAGTACTCCAGGTATGTGCCTCAAATCCTGGAAGAATGCAGCGGAAGGGATTGCAATGTGACCATTCCCCCTAAAGAGGACTTTATCACTTTTCTCTTTCTACCCCTAGTGAGTGTACATGCCCCTGTAACAAAACTGCAGGGAAAAAAAATAAGGAAATTGAGATATGCCATTAAATAATGCTTCTCAAAGCACTTGCATCCAGAATATATAGAGATTCTTAACATTTTATAGTAAGACACTATTATCTTTGAAAAATGGACAAAAGAGTTGAACATTTCCCACAAGAATATATACAGAAGACCAATAAGTACATAAGAAGATGCTGAACATCCTGTCATCAGAGAATGCAGATAAAATCCATGTTGATAAAAACTGCATACCCATTAAAATGGCTAATTTTTGTTTTTAAGAAAAAGATTTTTGCTGTAGTGCATATGCGCTCGCTAGAGAGACAGAGATAGGCACCGAAAAATCGCCCCCAAGGTGGAATGGTCACACTGTTTTTCACCAAGTGTTGGTGAGATGGGAGCAAGTAGAATTCTTATGCACTGCTGATGAGATAGCAAAACGGTACAACCACTGTGCAGAAGAGTTCAGTGGTTTCTTAAAACACCAAGTATGCACTTAACAAGTTATTTTTCTAGATTTATCCATATGACCATGCAAAGATAGTTATGCAGGTGTTCACAGTGCTATTTACAGTAGCTACAAATGAAAAGGAGTGAAGTACTGATACTCAAAACACCATGAATTAATCTCAGCCGTATGCTAAGTGCGAGAAGCAAGACACAAAAGACTATGTGATTCCATTTATATAAAATTCTAGAAACGGGACAGCAGATTGGTTGGTGGGAGCTGAGGGAATTGATACAAGGGTTAACAGGAAAGCTTCCGGGGGGATGGAAGCTTCCATCTGTTGTGGTAGGTTATTACCTCAGTAAAGCTGGAATATAAAGAATAATGCAACCTATAGGATTTTAATCATTTTAACTGTATGGTACAGTGATGCATGCAAAGGGGAAGAGAGCATGAATTTTTAAATAATTGGTGTTTTAACTCAAGATGGCTTAGTGGTCCCCAACTATCTTGTTGTTCATGGTGCTCACATGCATGAGAGGGAGAGAGAAGCGCCCTCCCACAGTGTCCATGATGCCTTTCCTCCAGTCCTCCAGCTCGCCAGGACCCTGGAGGTGCGTGTGCATGCACCACCTGGTGTGTTTCAAGCAGACTAGGCCAGGATTCAGACATGGTAGACATACGGTTTCTAACCCCACAAGAGGGTATGCCACTGACTGTGCCAGAGGCCAGGCCTCTGTTCACGGGAAACTCTCCCTTAGTTTCAGGTTCACTGTGGTTGCAGTCACGGCTCCCGGGTCATCTGATGGCCACTGTTGAAGTAGGTGGAACCATTTGTTCTGTTAGCTGTCTGCCACCTGGTACTCCTTTAATGGACAAAAATTACCTGTAATGAAAAACCTACTAATACCTTGTATGTCCCAGCATGAAAGGGAAAGGGCACTCCATGCGTCACGTAGGTGCTTCTGCCCTCTGAAGCAGGGAACGACAGGAAAAAACCAGCGTCAGACACATTAGAAGTGAACCTTCTGCTTAGTTGAGGCTCCATGGCCAGATCCTCTTACATTCATTCCTGGCAAAGCATTTGAAGTGGGGCCAGGGCAGGCTGTGAAGACTGCCAAAAGCCTTTATTGGATAGGATACACACCTTCTTCCTAGTTTTTACTGGGAGCACTAGTATTAAAAAGGCATTTAAATACAATTGAGTTTGTTCCAGTGTACAGATAATTCTAATAGAGCTCGACATTCGTGCATTGCTCTTCTGGTTACATAGTAGGTCATCTGAAAGTCACGGCATACTTTTCTGTTTTTCTAGGCAAAAATGCGTCATGACTTTTCCAATGACCCAGTAGTCTTTTTTTTTTTTTTGGTTTAACAATCATAGGAGCTAGAAAAAGAAATCTTCCCTGGTTTATAGGATGAAAGCAATTGAGGTAGAGAGACAGTGATGACACTCAAACACTCAAAAGTCTCCTGGTCAATGAATGGGTCTGAGACACCCAGTAGGAGTGACTTGGAATCCACTGTTTACTCAGGGACATCATTTACATATTTTTCTAAAGTGTTGAGACTTGCTACCGTTTTTTTAATATGAAAAATAGGTAAAGTTCAAAATCCTAAGTACATTGTTTTAAAAAAACTACGAAGGAAGGTCTTCCCAAGTTCATCCACCTTCCTTTCTCACCCCTGAGGTAACCATTGCTTATCCATTTCGTTCCTATTTTTTGACACTTTTCTTAATTTGGACAATCAGACGCAAACACATGCTTTCATGTGGACGTAATACTCTACTTACTGGTTCGACACGTTTAATTTTTTATTTTATATATTATATTTCTTGACATCTTAATAGTTTTCTATACTGGTATCTACAGACCTACCTCATTCTTTTAAATAATATAATAACCATTGTATGGGTATGCATAATTTGCTCAACCTTTGTTCCGTTGGTGGGCTTTCATTTGTCTCCACTGGTTTTGTCTTTTAATTTGCTATAGAGTGCACCCCCAAAATCAGCACCTCCTTAGGGTCGACAAGAAACCTGTGATGGACGTGGACCTAAGTAACATGCACATTCGGTGTGCGACCGACACACAGGAAAAGCCCTTGCAGAGGTGGGTGGGATTGATTAAGAATGTCTTAGCTCCTTAGCAAGGAGCACTTGGGTGGCACTGAGGCAGGTGAAGCAAGATAACCTGGGCAGAGGAGCACCCAGGAGCAAATCATCGTGTAGAGAGGAGCGATTGTTCAGGCGAGGTGACCTATGGAGGACACAGGGAATGACACCTGCCTCACAGGGGCCTGGGCTGGGTTTCATATTGGGCGTAATAGAAATTTCTCTTTGATCTTCAGGATGCTTCAACATCTTTTTATCAGTGCCTTCTTAAGATGGCTAACGTGGTCTGTGTTTAAAGTGCACTGTACATAATTTGCCCCGTTCACAGCACCATCCATCTGCTTCCCACGTGACAGGCCTCACTCCTCTCCATTCTCATGGATGCAGGTAGAGTGTACAGTTCTGGCAGGTGCAGGTGTCACGGCAGCACCCCGTCAGTACCCAGCTCTGCCCGCAATGACCTGTGCCTGGCTTTGTGTGTATTAGAGTCATTGGCGTTCTTTGAACACCTACATTGGCAAGACTATGGCTCGTGCTTTAACCAAGCAGACCCCGATGGCATAGCATGGGAGAAGCAAGGCTCGCAGATGTGTTGGATGTTGCACTAGAGCAGCACCACAGCCGGAACTCATAGCTACAGCCTTGC